TTTAAATCCTCATCTCCAAAATTCCAGAGCTATTTCTTATGAAGAGCTATACAAGGAGTTCCACATGTATTAGTCAATATGGGCACCCTTCTTTGTTTCACATAGGTAGTGAAAAAGGATGACAGGTTATTTGAAGTGACCTTAGCTGATTGTAATTCCAAATGAATGCAAATTCTTCAAGTTTTTTCCTCCTCCTCTTTCTCCTCCCTCTCTTCATGGATGAAAGGAAATAGAGACAGCGTTGCTAAACTGAGACCTGTTCAAATAATTCTACTCTTAACTTTTACCTTATGAGGTTTCTAACAAGCTGCCAGATTTTTAATATAAATCTCTTCCTGAGGCCTTCCTTCCTTAAAAAAAAAAAAAAAAAAAAAAAGCGTAGTAAAATGAAAAGATGGAAAATATACACAATATACACAGAAACATGAGAAAGCAAGTAGGCACAAGGGCATCCTGAGGGCATATATTCTGGGAGCATATCCTGGGGTTCAGACTTTTTGAAGGATAATTGAACAGGACTTGTTAAAATCAGAAGTGTATAGAATCTTCTATATAGAATTTCACTCTAGGTATTTATCCTGAGAAATACATACCAGTGGACCAGGCATGTCACTCAGTGGAAGAGTACATGCCTAGCATGCACAAGGCCCGGGCTTCAGTCCCGGGGCATACGCACGCGTGCTTGCACATGTGCACACAAAGAAATATGTGCAAATACAAAGAGAAGTGCTGAGAATACTCATTGAAATGCAATTTGTAATTAGCAAACAATGGATAACAACCTAATTAGTAAACAATGGATAACAATCTAAAGAACAGTTTTAAAAAATTATCATTCTGTTCATGATATGGGTTGTAACTGATAATTGAAAAAATTGGAAAATAACTATATATACCAATGTGAAAAGATTCTAAAACATTTCAAGAGAAAGCAAAAAACAAGTTGAAAAAATTACATGAATTATTTGACCCAATTTATGAACATAAAACTGCATGTCTCTATGTACATACATATATACTTACATGACCCAGGATGTTGTGTACAAACCTGAAAATGGTGTTTGTCCTCTGAAATGATAGGACTGGCTAGAGAAGGTAGAGGGGATCTTTACCTCATGTGTCATTTGAATTTTTCTGTATGTGTGTGGTACTGGTAATTTAATCCAGGAGTGCTCTACTACTGAACTATACCCCTAGACCCTTTAATTTTTATTTTGAGACACAATCTTGCTAAATTGCAAACTCTGGCCTCAAATTCTCAATCCTCCTGCTTCAGCCTCTCAAGTCCCTGAGTTACAGGCATGTGCCACCACTCTGGCTTGTATCTTTTGGATTTATATGAGGATATTCAAATAATATAATTTTTAAAATATATTTTACAATATTAAAAAAAAATTTAGTTGTAGTTGGACATAATACCTTTATTTATTTTTATGTGGTGCTGAGGATCAAACCCAGGGCCTCGCAAGTGCTAGGCGAGCGCTTTACTGCTGAGCCACAACCCCAGCCCTCAAATAATACAATTTTTAAACAATAAAAAGGAGTGGAGATGTGACTCAGTGGTTAAGCATCCTTGGGTTCAATCCCCAGTACCAGATATGTGTATGTATGTGTGTTTGTATGTATATGTGTATAACATACACACATATATAATTTTTAAATCCTTAAATATTTTAAAGAAAAAACCCTCACTAATAATCTGGTAGCCTTTCATTCTAGGGCCCAAAGCCCCACCCCCATGGCCTCAGGGTCATTGTGGGGGAGGGTATCATGGAAGTTACCTTTAAGGAGCCAGTTTCCCTCCTTGCAAATAACTTCATAATGCTTCCCCTGGTGCTTGGTCATGAAAAATCATTTTAGTGAAAGTAACAATTTGAAAATGAAAGTGGTGATTGAAATTTATTATTGGGGCTGGGATGGTGGCTTAGCGCTCGCCTAGCATGGGCAGGACCAGGGTTCAATCCTCAGCACCACAAAAAAAAATAAAGGTATTGTGTTGTGTCCATCTATACCTAAAAATAAATATTAAAAAAAAAGAAATTTATTTTTGGCAGGAACTGAACACCCAAGTGCAATGAGTTTAGTTGATTATAGGAGTGTTTCCATAGCTGTGATGAAATGTGGCCCGGGGAGATATTTAAGGGACTAAGTATCCAAATTGGCAGCCTGGTAGTGAATACAAGATATATTCAAACAAGAGGGACCACTGTCCCTGAGTGACACAGTATCCATTAATACCCCAGAGCCCCCCCCCCCAGGTTACTGCCTTGCTTGGTAAAACTTGGCCTTAATATCCAACAAGTAGCTTTCCCCTCTCTACCCACAGCCAGAAAGATGTCCCCATGCCTGAAGGCCTCAGAACTCCAGGAGAGAGTTCTCACAGCTGCTAAGAATATAAGAATATAAACCTAGCACAGGTCCCCTGAGGTCCTGGGACTGAGGAACAAGGTGTGCTAGGCCCTCAGCCTGTCCCAGGGATATATCCCTTCAGGGGTCTGGTATTGATACAAAGCCTCTGGCTTGCAGGTTATATTCCTCAGTCATCATAAAAAAACATGTTTTAAATCTTAAATGGTTCAGATAAAATAAAAAGATGTTAAATGGGGATTACCATTTAATGGGTACAGAGTTCCTGGGTGATAAAAAAAAGATCTGGTTACACGGCATTATAAGTGTGCTTAATGATACTGATGTACACTTAAAAATGGTTAACTTGATAAATTTTACATTATGTATATAATGTAAAGCACTCCTGGATTAAATTACCACAACAACAAAAAAGTGGATATACAACATATATAAAAATTAAAAGAGGAGATGAGGATGTAGCTCAGTGCTATAGCATGCACACAGGCCCTAGCACTGAAAAAAAAAAAAAATTAAAAGAGGTAATTCTCAGTTATCTGAAAAATGTGGCACTCAGACAGACCATTCCCTTAAGTCTGGCCAGGTAAGAACTGGCTATAGCCTAGGAGTGGGTCTCGATATCTGTGCCAGCATTTTCCCTCTTCCCTACAGCTCCAGGGTTGCCTCAGAAGTGCCCTAGGGAGGACAGAGGGCCCTGGGAGTCTCCAAGTCTCCTTTTGTCAGAGCCACCTCGTGGCTGAGGAGTTTATACGGGGAAAGTGTCCTCGAGTGCTTAGCACACCTGCACTAGGCTTCACGGTGATTGCCTAAATACCGTAATGTCTGCGTCTTACAGAAGCTCTCAGGTGCCAAGTGAGACTTGAACAGGGCCAGCCTGTCCAACTAAGGGTCCTTATCAAGACCCAGCCCAGGATGGGTGGTTTCCACACATGACACTGCCCCTCCTGGAGCGTGCTGCTAATGCTTATCTTTTACCCAGTTCATGGCATAATTTTTGTCTCAGTCTTAAAGTCCACTGAAATGATTTTTCTGGGAGGGAAGGTGGTTCTCTCCACAGGGGTCATGGGCTCTGGGGACTATAGAACAACTGCCCTGGGAGGGGAGAGGCAGATAAGAAAACCAGTCACACTCTGCCAGGGGGGATTCCTAAGTTGGGCTAGGCCTGCCCTGGGACCCCATTGCTGGTGGGGGAAAGGGATACAGCCACTCTTCAGCCCCCACCACATCAGGATAGGGCTGGTGAAAGAGCTGGGCACTGTGGCAGGAGGATTACAAGTTCAAGACTAGCCTGGGCAGTTTATCAAGACCATGTCTCAAAAGAAATTTTTAAAAAGAGCTGGGAGGGCTGGGGGCGTAGCTCACTGGTAGAGGGCTTGCCCTGCAAGAGTAAGGCCCTTGGTTCAATCTCCTGCACTAAAAAAACAAAAAGCAGGGGTGGCAGGGAGTGGCTGGGAGAGCTGCTCACAGGCAGAGGCTACAGTGGCATCACACCTGTAATTCATTACTCTGGAGGCTGAGGCAGGAGGATTGCAAGGTCAAGGGCAACATGATGAGTGAGTCCCTGGTGCAAAATAAAACTTTTTTTAAATTTTAAGGTCTGGGGATGTAGCTCAGTGGTAGAGCACCCCTGGATTCAAATCCCCTGCACAGGAAAAAAAAAAAAAAAAGAGCTGGGAGACCTCCTCATTGGTGCCAGGGGCTGCTGCAGCCCCAGCACAGAGCTAAACAGAAGGGCTCCTGCCAAGAACACATGACCAAAGAGAAAAAATTTCCATTTCTGACAGCACTTGCCGGGCAGATACCAAAACTGAGGGCTGTGTTTCGTCATAGCCAACTCTGAGCCAAGAAAGACCCTGAACTCTGAGTGACCCCAGGAGCTTTCCTGGGCTGAACTGAAGAAGTTTGCTGATCAACAAACAACAGAGTCTGCTCTAAGCAAGCAGCTGTCCTACCCAGAGTGCTAGAGCTTAAAACATCTCAATTCCTGCAGCCATGCCTCTGTCTCCCCTGGCTTGGCAAGTTAATGGACTGGGCTTTGTCTTTTTTTTTTTTTTAATCCCACAGTCTCTGTTCTAGTCTTTG